CACAAACCCACCCACACAGACCAGTATTTGCAGTTTGACTCCCATCACCCTTTGGAGCACAAGTTAGGAGTCATCAGGACTCTGTATCACAGAGCAGACAGCATCCCCACTAGCTCAGGAGCCAGGCAGAAGGAGAAATCCTACACAAGACAGGCTCTAGAGCAATGTGGATATCCTAACTGGGCCTTCCTGAAAGCAGAGAAGAAACCCAAACAGGACTCCAGTCAGCCAACAGGTGAAAAGGAGGAACCCAGACCCAGACCAGTGGTCATTCCGTATGTAAGATCCAGTCCCCCGGCACAAACAGAGTAATGTTGTGTATGCTGTTCAGTGTCAGGAGGGCTGTGATCAGTCTTACATCAGGGAAACTAAACAGCCACTGGCCAAAAGGATGGCCCAGCACAGAAGAGCAGCCCCATCAGGCCAGGACTCTGAGGTCTACATTCATCTCCAGGCCAGCGGTCACTCTTTCAGGGATGAAGATGTTCACATCCTGGAACGATGGTTTGAGAGAGAAGTAAAGGAGGCCATCTTTGTGAAAAGAAATCGTCCATCATTAAACAGGGGCGGAGCCTCTGGGTTCAACTGTCCCCCTCTTACAATGCTGTTATTGCTAGTATCACTCAGCCCTCTGTGAATAGTAAACAGCCATCAGTGTGCTAATGATCCATTGTTAGGCTGATGGTCCTTCTTGACCATGTGAGCAGCTGGTTCTGGTTGTCAGCAGCAAACTGGTTGATCCACTCTGAGAAGGTGCTATTTAAGAGACTGAGCTGAATACAGCACCTCAGACTGAGGAAGTCTCTTGGATGAGAGACGAAACGTTTCTATATATTTTTTGTTGTTTTACTTTTTGTTTTTCTGAATGTCCAGAGGACCAGACTGAACTTTTTTAGATCTGATAGTAATCAATGATTTGTGCCGTATCAGCCATGCCAACAATCACAGCACAGAGGATGGAGATGGAGGAAAACCTCTTCATCCAGGCTAGGCTAAATGCTAGCCAAACAAATGCCAGCTTTTAATCTTTTCAAGGTTATAAAACAAATTCTTCTCAAAAATGAGTTTCTTTTCAACCAATGCCCTTCTTACTATGTGAACAAATGATTACCCGTAGTTGATTAGTCAACTATTCTTTTAAACTGTCTGTTCTGGGCTCAGTTTATGTTTGACCTCACCTGGTTTAGTCTGCCCACTTGTAAATATCACCTTACTTTCTCTGCATTGTTGTAATATAAAACTACAGGAATTTAAAGTATTAACCCGTGAAACATAGAAAACTGAAACTAATCAAATGTATTTATAACTGGACTTGATGTGACCATGATAAAACATGCAACACATTAGTCGGTACAGATGAAAATGCAAGTAATCTTTGTTTTAAACAAAACATGCTAACTAAAATGTCCCCGAGCGGGTCTGAAGGTCCAGAACATTTATAGGGTTTCCATTTGACACAAAAACACACCAAGTCGAGACTTAGACCAACACATTTTCTGAGCACTGTAGTTGGCACAAGACTTTTGTTTGTATTTTGCTATTAGCTCGTGGAGTCAACTCTGTCTTTCTGTTAGCAAAATATCACATGAACCACTGGGCAGATGTGACCCATCACATCGAAGTGAGGGTTACGATGCAAAGTGGTATGCAGAAATAAAGACAAATCTAATGAATAAATACCCATTCTTTGGGTCCCTTGAATGACATGGCTGAAATATAATGGTAAAGTTGTGGACGATGATTCTGAGCAGGAGCAACAAATGAATTTCAGGAGAAAAAGATGTTTTGCTACTTCCTCTGTGTGCTATTGAAGCCTTCATTCCCATGTGGTACATCCTGATATCCAAATATGATTTGAGTTTTTTTTTTTCTTTTCTCAAATGATGTAAAAAACATCCTCCTTAGAAAATGCTCAGAATCAGATTCAGGCCAGTCTTCCAGGGGTTAGTGTGATTAACAGGACCAATGTAGCCTTGTCTGATAGTACGGTCTTTGAATCAGAATGCAGCTTAAAATGCCAGCAATCTGAAAATGTGCTTTGTTCAGTTTATCCAAATCTGACTTAATCTTCAGTTTGATGTGAAGGGTCACAGATAAAAACAAAAATCAAAAACAACTTCCAGAAAGCACTGGTAATCATTAAATGTACATGAACAGGAGGCAGATAAGATCCCTGCATTGTCAAAATGGCGTTTCAGGAAGTTCCAAAGTAATTTCCACTGTTGGAGACAAGACCTTCCCTTAGAATGAACTTTGAGCATTTGTATTTACGTGTTTTGTATAAAGTAAAAAAAAAAAAACAATTTAACAAAATTAACTGAGTATTGAAAAGAGAAGAACTTTGAGAGGACAATGTGCCAACTTTACTGGATTTCTAAAGAAAGGTAAAGTTTCTTGGCAGAAGTTTGCAGACATTCTTCTTTTCTCTAGTTTCACTCAGACACTCGCCTATAACAGAGAACGGCATGTCAGCTGAAATATTCTTAATCCTTCTCTTGTTTTGTAGCGGAAAACATTTATCAGAGCTTCCTGAAGGTCATTTACTCTTTCTGTTACATGTATTACATTTAGCATATCGGGGGCCGAGATGGGGTAGAGGCAGGGCAGTCGACCCGGGACCCCAAAGTCCCAGGTTTGACCCCCAGCCATCGTGGTGTCCCTGAGCAAGACTCCCAATCCCCAATTGCCCCATGAGCACCCACATAGCTGCCCACCGCCCCACCTGGGGGGCACCAAGTGTGATGAGTCAAATGCAGAGAACCAGTGTTGCTGTTGTATGGAAACATTCAATGATGACAACACAACACTTTATATTATGTGATGGGCATGTTGTCAAAAAACAGGATTTTTTTATCCATCCATCCATCCATCCATCCATCCATCCATCCATCCATCCATCCATCCATCCATCCATCCATGGAAG